GGGGACCCAGAATATTTGCAAGGTCTATCAGGACATAATTCTCGCACTTAAACCACACCTAACCGTTACACACCCAGAAAGAACGTCTGAAGCTCAGTGGTCCTGGTTCGACAGGGAATGTAAGACCAAAAAAAGAGCTGAGCAGAGCAACAATACAGGCATTGACATCTACGGAAAGAATATAAATCTCTGCTTACTGAGTACCAGATCAATGGGGCAATTAAAAAGATTTTTCTACAGCAGAGGAGGCCAGCTGGTAAATCCTGTTCTCAAGATGTTTGTTGTTAAAATTCTAGCACAAATGCTCTATGGGACAGAACTATGGGGAGAGGCAGCCAAGCCCAAATTAGAAATCCTGCAGAACAAATTTATGAGGCTGATACTGGGTCTCCCCCCCAGAAACTCCCTCATCTCACCTCAAAGCCGAGTTAGGCCTACCCTCAATTGCCGCTATAATTGATCTGGCTTATCTTAGATATTGGCATAGACTGAACAGTTTGGAGGACTCATCCCTGACAAAGTGCTGTTGGTTAGAACAATTAAAGTCTGGTGGATGGGCACAACAGTGTCACCAAAAATTAAAGGTCCACAATCTTCTGATTGAAAATTTCCTTAGTTTAAGCTCTCGCAACCTTAGGAACTGGATCTTTGATCTTGATGCTAGCCAGGGTAGGGAGGCTATTGTTGGGTCCCATTTTTCTACCTGGTATCCTCAGCATACCTCGAAGGGAGATATAAAGGAATCCAAGGAATGAAAAGGTGTCTTTGGCTGCAACCAGATTGAGGATCTAACTCATTATCTAGTGTCCTGTCCTCTCTATAAAAATCCTAGAGAAAGATTTCTGTCACCCATCATTCAGATGTATTTTAACTGTAACACCACTGAAACAGTAGTAGGATTGCTTGCTGATGCACAGTTGCACATTACATATGCTGTAGCACAATTTGCACTAGCAGCTAAGAAGCTGAGGCTTCGATTTGTCAGGGATCATAATGCCATATAAATGCTGAATACAGTGGATTGACGTTTTACATTATGACAATATTTTAGACCGGGTTTTATTGGTTTTAATGGTTTTAATGGTTTTAAGGTAATTACCTGCTTTATTTGGATTTTATATGATACAGTAGTCACAATACAGTGGTGCCCCGCATAGCGACGATAATCCGTTCTGGAAAAATTGTTGCTATGTGGATTCGTCACTATGCGAAATAAAAAAGCCCATAGGAACGCATTAAAACCCGTTTAATGCGTTCCTATGGGCAAAAAACTCACCGTTATGCAAAAATCCTCCATACGGCTGCCATTTTCGCTGCCCAGTAAGCAAGGAAACCACGCGAAAACAAAGTGGGCGCCCATTTTTTTTACCCGATGGCCATTTTGGAACCACCAACCAGCCGTTGGGAAAACATCGTTATGTGAAAATCAGTAAGCAAAACAGCTTACCAATCATCACAAAGCGATTTTTCCCATTAGAAACATCGCAATGTGATCACAAAAACAATCACAAAAACTTAATAGCTACGCAGATTCATCGTTAAACGGGGCGCTGGTTAAGTGAGGCACCACTGTATTGTAAAGAAACAATAAGATTTATAAGTATGTATGTATGTAGGTAGGGAAAGTTTTAGAAATTTCTCTAATGAATCAGAGAAGGCAAAATATTGTAAACAATTCTTCAGCTGAAAGACACAGGCAAAATCTTTTTTTCCCCTCAAGTGGCAAATTACATGTGGTTTAAAAGCAGAGAAATACCTGGATAGGCATATTTTGATTCATTTGAATAGAAGATACTGAAACAATTGTGCAGCTTTTGTGACAAGCTCTTCCTTTAACTTCCTTAGCACCTTAGTTCTTTACATTTTACTCTCTTCCTTCTTCTTCCTTTTTCCTTCTCCCTCTTCCTTGCTCCAATGTTTTTATTGTAAACTATGTAATTGTATAACAGATATATTTATTCACAAATATCACATCATATTTAGTAAGTTCAATGTGTGTAAGGGATTGCTGATTCAAAAGAAAGACAAACTGAATGCTCCTATAAATCCAGTAGATTGATTGATTGATTGATTAACTGTCCATCCGTCCCATTAGCGAATACCCACTACCCTAGGTAGTTTATGGAATAAAATATCAAACCCTCCAATACCCCAGCCCCACACTGATATATCAATACAATGCTAACAATAGGTTTTGCCAGAACCTAAACTGGATAACAATCATCACCCAGCTATGCTGAAAAAGGAGGGAGCCTAATCTTACTTCAATTTGCAGTTGTAAGCTGCTTACACAATTAATTGCCACCTCTTCATGGAACTTCCCAGTCTTCAACTGTGATTCTTGGATCTTCTTGCTTCAGGACAATGTGGTATTGTCCTCACAGTCTCAAGCTACACTTCCTTAATGCCTGCCATAGACAAGTCCAGCTGTACATTGCTTTGTTTCTGTCATAATAGGATCAGACTTCATTGACTCTCCTGGCAGTACTATAATTGTTAATTTTGCTTCGAGAATTTCATATTCAAAAACTTTGTTGGCTTCAGCTGTCTGTTACCTCTTTCACCTAGTTGTGTACGTTGCACTAAGCATAACTGGAAGCTGGATGTGAGCACGATGAAATATGTTAACCCTCCTGACAGCTTCTCTCAAGATGAACTAGGTAAAGTAATGTCTGTAGCAGCATTTACATAAATGTTCAGTCTGTTTTCTACATTATATGTTAGACTTCTCATACAGGTCTATGAGATCAGGCCTCTTTGTGGCCATGTTTGAGGGATTGTTGGTGAGAGAGATCTCACTTTGTCTCTCTCTCTCTCTCTCTCCTGCCAGACAAGACTCCTGAATCTTGAGGGTATAAGCTTTTCATCAGCTCTTTACTTCACCCTACTATTCCTTTGTCCCAGTTTAAATTTTAATTTCCATTATCTTCTCCTTCACTTACATATTAACCTTTTTTCTTATTGTCCAAACCATTCAATATAGATTTTTATTTACTTAAGGGACAGCTGGGTGTGAGCTTAGCTATCTGACTAGACACATGCCTGGCAGTGCGCTGAAGCCAGATTCGAAGCATCTTCATTGTTTTGTTCTAGTCGTTTCAAACCAATGTATAACGAAGGATTCTGAGCATATGTGGACATATGAACCTGTGCCTTCACCAGCAATAGCAATTTAATTTTTTTTCATTCTTCCTTTATAGTTGTTGAGAGTGATACTCAAAATGGACTACTGCTAATTGAACTGCAACCTCCAAACCCATGGGATATAGACCCAAGGAATCTTGAAGATCTGGCTTTGGGTGAGGTGCAGGTAATCAAGAACGAGCAGTTTTTGTGAACAAGGGCTTCTTACAACGATCCAATCTACACTGGTTATGTGGGGCAAACAGAGCACTGCTTGCTACACCTCTAGCTACCCTCATTTACCTCACTTCAGATTAACCCCTGCCAGCCCTCCTTGTCTCACCTGTAAATTATTCTTCATTACATTTAACTATAGCTGCTCTTCAGTGCTTGCAGATAGCTCCCAGTCCCTCACAGTATCAGTGATGACCTTAGAAGCTTTAAATTGCTAGGTCTGAAGCAATGACCAAGAAGTTTCCCATTTCTCAGTGCAGGCAATCACGAGCACTTCCTGCCTCGAGACCAAGAATAACACAAAAACACAAAGCTATTTGTCCTTAATTTTACTGCCGAACTTTTTTTAAAAAACTGCTGAGGACATTTGCATAGGCAGCCATTGTTCATTTCCTTGTCTCTTCTGTTTCCAACTTTGAGCTAAGCATCTGGTAAGGGATGCTGCAAAGCAGTGTCTTTCTTCTGCTGGGTGAGCTTAAATACATCTGGACAGGCAAAGGTAGAATATATATATAGAGAGAGTGCATTTTTGTGGCATTTTATATCCATTCGAAGAAAGTCCAACTGTTTGCTGTTTGGTCATAGGACACACAAATGTATTGTAACTCTCCAGTTAAATAAATTTTGTTTTTTTCTCTTTCTCCTCCCTGTCTTCTCCCATTCTGTTTACTTCAGGGAGAGGGGAAATATATGTTTCTTTGGCCTTGGCTCATATTTCTTCTTTTGTTGATTTCTTTCTGTAGTGCAATGAAAATATTACGCAGGAGCTTGGAAATCTGTAATGCTTGCGTCCCTGTTCACATTTTCTTTCCCCTGTCTGGTCCTTGGCAGAGGAGAAGACACTTTGTTTTAGCAATTCACATTCTTTTAATTAGTCTGGGGTGGAGGTTGAAGTTAAAAAAAGAATATGAGTAAATAAACCGACTGCCTATTTTTTAAAACAAACATAAAGGAAAGCAGCAGCAGGAATAAACATTTTTTGTTTTGTGGCAGAGTTGTGAAACGAGTGAATGGGATATGATGTGGGAGAGAGCACCCGAATGAATGTCTGTCTGCTTTTCTGTGGGTGGGAATATTGCCTGTGTGAGTTTGAACGTATGTGTATGTGAATGCTTGTATATATGTATGAATAACTGCTTTTGCTCTTGTTCTGCTGGCCACCCTTGACACTGCCAGACACTGTCTGCTTTCTCCTTTGCCCCATCAACCTCAAATGGGCACCAGCTGCCACTGCCTAAGGCCAAAGTATTTGCTGTCCGTTGTGTAGGAAAGTAAACTAGGAGGAGAGAAACTGTTCTCATAGTGCCTACATTGTTGGTACAACAGAGTCAATTTGGAATTCATTCTGTGTGGACTTTTCTCTTAGTCTGCACAAGCAGACCTTATGCAACACTTTCCTATGCTAAGTCTGTTGTCCTTCCCTGTCCCCACCCGTCTGCTTTTTATCAAGTGATTTCTACTTTTGCTAGTTTGAGACAAAAAATGCCAGTGTGGTGATCCTCTTAAATCTCAGTGTTTTGGTTTTTAAATTGCCTACTAGTCTGTGAACTTTTCAGATGCCCTTCTGGAAAATATGTTCAGTGCACCTGTATCCATCTGGTGTCTTATACAGCAAAGACTAACATAATTAACTCAGTTTTTGTTTTTGTTTTACAATTTTGAAGGTTGAGCATACTTTGCTACACTGGATTCTTGCAGTCATAGTGTTTAGGACTGATGTGACAATCACAGCTGAAAGCATTAAAAAATAGCATATACTTAGAATTTAACATAGGGATTAAAGAAGTAGCAGACACAGTCCTGTTGGGGATTTATGGTGGTATAATGGCAATTTTTTAAACTGCAGCACAACATTCTAAGTTGTCATTTGCATTCCTGGTCATGTGCAAGTTGCATAGCTTGATGCGTGACCAGGAATGCAACCAGCAACTCAATAGGTAAAGGTTCCCCTTGACACTTAGTCAGTCGTGTCCGACTCTAGGGCGTGGTGCTCATCCCGTTTCCAAACCGTAGAGCCAGCATTTGTCCGAAGACAGTTTCCGTTGTCATGTGGCCAGCGCAACTTATGCACGGAACGCTGTTACCTTCCCACCAAGGTGGTACTTATTTATCAACTTGCATTTGCATGCTTTCGAACTGCTAGGTTGGTGAGGAGCTGGGACAAAGCGACGGGAGCTCACTCGGTCATGTGGATTTGATCTTACGACTGCTGGTCTTCTGACCCTGCAGCACAGAGGCTTCTGCGGTTTAACCTGCAGTGCCACTACGTCCCGACAGCAACTCATTAATTAGCTGCAAATATGATAGCATCTGGATTTTGACTTTTTAAAAAAACAATGTAGAAAAGTCTCTCCCCACACCCACTTTAAATAGTGAATCTGTCACTGCTTCCATATCTTCCCCTAATTAAACCCATACCAGCATAAATCTCCAATAGGATTCCCTCCAGCATGTTCTTGTTTCAATCTAGGCTAAATGAATTAGGATATTTTTAAATCTGTTCAGAATAAGCTTTGTGATTAGAAAATAATGAGATAGTGTATCACCCTAACCTGCCTCACATTGAGCACTGTCTGTACTACTTAACCAAATATGATAGCATCTGAATTTTGACTTCTTAAAAAAATTATGTAGAAAAGTCTCTCCCCACACCCATTTTAAATAGTTTAAAGAATTAGAAACAAATGAAATGTAAGAAGGCCACACCCTCCCACCACGTCTGTGTTCTGTCTACCCTGAACATATATTTTTTTGAAAAAGGACTTTTTCTGAAAGAGAAAAAGTTCTCATTATGTTTATTGGCAAAAAAATAAATAAATAAAAATACATACTATTTGGGCAGGGAACAAGAATGCTTGAGGAAAAACATGGCAAGATTGCCTCTGAAGCCACCTAGAGGGCACAAGCGGACCTTATGAGCAAATTTTTTAAAAAAAAGATGTTGGAGGGCTGAATTCAATTTTTGTCATAAAAAGCACAAGCCTAAGTACATTTATTCTGTTTTCAGGGATACAGAATGTGGTAACAATGATCATTTTGGATCCTGGGTTTCTTTCTGCTTCTAGGTAACTTACCTGACTCATGCATGTATGGACCTTAAACTCGGAGATAAGATAATGATATTTGATCCATGGCTAACCGGTCCAGCCTTTGCACGTGGCTGGTGGCTTCTTCATGAGCCCCCCAATGACTGGATGGAAAGACTTTGCCGTGCAGATCTCATCTATATCAGCCACATGCATTCTGATCATCTCAGGTATATGCATGAAAAAAAAGCATGGAATGTAATGAGTGCTAAAAGCAAAAGGTGGCTTGTCTTAGCCATAGGAAAAATGATAACATCTACATCAGGATTAATAAATACTTTTATTAGGCCAACCAGTGCGTCACAGAATGGTATGTTAAACTTCCAGGTACTTCAGAACTCTTCATCAAAGGGAAGAAGGGCTGGCTGACTAAATAAAAACACTGTGGCCAAACTCCAGTTGGAAGAAAAATGTACAGAACAGCATTCACACAGTGGTTTTTCTCCTCCTGCGGGCTCCTCTTCATGTGACCAGTTTTGCAATCAGTGTGAACTTGTGTGCTTTACTGAGTCCTCTTCATGTGACCAGTTTTGCAATCAGAGTGAACTCAATGTTTACTTTACTGAGTCAGTGTGATTCAGAACAGAGACCCTGCCAGTGGGGCAGGACACTGACTCAATTGCCTTACACCGTCACTTAAAGGAATAAGATTCTGGCCAATGGCTTCTATTTCCCTGCCTTTCTTGCTGCCTTCCTCTTACTTCTTTACCTTCTTTACCCTGATGAAGATCTGGAGCACTTGAAAATGCATACATAATTTTGTGACATTTTGGATCATAACAACAACGACCTAGCCATAGTTTATGCTTTCATCCTAACGTAAGCTAAGTGTCATTTTAGATAACATTTTAGTACATTTATTTTAAAAGAGGTGCTTACCCAAATGTTGAACATTTGTTTCTTGTAAGCTGTGATTTTCCTCATCTAAACGTCTTGTATTTAGTATGCTGTGGTTCTGAACAGTCAATGGCAGGAATCCTGTGTGGCATCACACAATATAAAGTTATGCAGACATACCGGTACCTTTGCCAGATATTACACAAGGCAACAAAGATCACACAAGTTGATTTATGAATAGTACTTCCTCCTTGTCACTATTATTGCCACTGCCTGCAAACTATGCAAGTGTAGCTACTTAATAGGATGTCAGCCACTGGAAGGTGAACTTAAGGTTAATTTTAATTTGCAAGGGTCTTATCTCTGAGGAAATCTTGTTTTGAGGGGAAATTATAGTAAAGATATATTTCCCCTTTATGTCTAGATTGACTCTGAGTCATGCTTACTGTCCGGGACATGGGAGTGACAGGCATGTGGCTCTCAAGTGACACAGTGGGAACAATTCTGTAGAGATAACAGGTGACAGGAATCTCATTGGTAGACACACCAAGGAGCGATTCCCACTGAACACTTCTTTTTCCTCTCCTACTGGAGATTGGATATCATTATAACTATGGCTTTAGAATGGCCAGCTCCAAATAGTGTTGTGTTGATTCCAAAGTGATCTCCAGGGTTCTTTGGCCAAGTCATTCTTTTCCTCCCTGCGCTTCCTCTCCCATTTATTTTGCCTTGAACAATCAGGTGAAACAACCTTTATTTGAGCAAAGGTCTTGAAATGTCCATATTGGTCTTCATTCATATGCTTTATTACTTTTTTGTTGGTCACTTTCTTGACCCAGGAATTTCTTAGCATTCTCCAATAGACATTTCAAGTGCTTCTATCTTTTTTGTGTTGCCTTCTTTTAGAGTGTATCATTCTATGCTGCACTGTTGAACAAAGTGTACCTAGCACTGTACATGGTGCATTTTCAAAGCCTTTTTTTTTTTGCACGTTATGTACTTCATCTTAAAGAAAGTGCTTCCAGCTATCTATTGCTGACTTCTGTTATATGGCTCTGGTCTTCAGCCAGATTCCAAGTTATACTTTTATTTTGCCTCTCTAATTGTATTTTTGGGCTGCTTTCTTTTATCTGAGTCCTATGAGATAGGTTTTCTTAGCAGTCATTTATAGACTGAGTTCATTGCTCATTTTATTGTCTATACTAGAAACAACTAAAATCGTCACACACCTTTAAAAGCATCAAGTTTCCTTTGGCATCTGCTTTCTTGAAACAAAGAAGTAGGCTAACATGCAAACATGCATTTTAGTGTTTGTTTTCCTCTGGCAGATGTCATCTACAGCTGAGAGAGGGAGAGAAAGACACACAGCCAAAGATGGTAAAGCTATGAGTCTGGTTTATTAGTAATGTTCTGCACAGAACAGGAAAACATAGGGAATGATTTCCAAATCATATGCCAATCTGATTGTCATTTCTGAGGCATTTTATAGTAATTCAGTCATGCAGACTTACTTAATCATTGTCATATGCAAGTACAAACTATTTGTTCATTGATGTTCAAGTATCTATAAGAGATTATTAACTACAGTTGACATAACATGTGCTGATGAAAGCAAGGCACAACTACACAAAAGCATGAAGTCTGAGTAAACACACCATCCATCATCTAGTGCCTCTTGTACCTGACCAAAATATTCTCTTCCTTGTTTCATTCCTGAAACCATGTCCACTGCTTATTCTTTGACCTTAGTTTAGGAATGCCTAACCATTCACCAAGTTGGGTTCAAAGGCACACTTCCCTCTTGCAAGCATCAGCAATTTGCAGCAATGGTTAAGTACATATAGTAGATATCAGGGTGCTGTTATAATGGTTGAGGATACAATATGCAGATTTTTCCTACATGTCCACAAAAGCACATGCCAAAGAAAACTTCTTGTTCTTAATAATGGTACACGTTTATTTTCACATAACAGACTAACATGGCTAGTTCCTTGGATATCTTTATTGAACAACCTTTGCAGACCACTTAGGCCAGTAATATTGTGTATGAGATAGTGTTGCTAATCACTTCACCAACAAGGATCCCACTGTGAATTAGTCTCTAAAGATGTTAAAGATGTACTCAGAGTACAAGTTGAAAAGCAGTGATGAGAGCAAACATTCTTGTCTTATTCTTCTTCATCTCCAGTTGTCCTTTGTCATCTGATCTTCAGGTCTCAGTACAATTTTTAGTTGCTACTGCTGGTTATTTATTATACCAGTACCCCTTGAATCGAGACTTCTGTTTTCTGACAACATTTCCTTGCCATTTGGCACTTTGTCAAAGGCTTATGGGACCCCATTGGATGGCTTTCCATATTAGATACTGTTAGTATCATTGTTTGTGTAAACAGTATCTAAACAAACCAGTTAAGTGACTTGAGGATGAGGCTACTATGTTGGCTTTACCTAGTCATACTTTTTCATGTTCCCCCTTTCCTATCCTCCAGTTACCCAACACTGAAGAGACTTGCTGAACGGAAGCCAAATGTGCCCATTTATGTTGGAAACACAGAACGGCCTGTGTTCTGGTATCTCAACCACAGTGGCATAAAGCTGACCAATATTAATGTTGTTCCATTTGGAGTTTGGAAAGAGGTGGACCGGAATCTTAGATTCATGATATTGATGGATGGTGTTCATCCAGAAATGGATACTTGTATTATTGTTGAATATAAAGGTACATTAATATTACAGTAATTGTGTTTTCTATGGGTATTGGTTTAATATTATTTTCTGTTCACTTTAAAGTGAGAAAGTGAAATAATAGTAGTCCTTTGTATAATTTAGCACATATGTCTTATTTTCCATTATCTTTTCTATTATCTTTCCCAAGGTTTGCTCTGCTATTTGTTTTAGTAAAGCAAAGCAACTCTTGCTCTTGTACAATTCAGAAGGTTTCCAATAAAACATGTAGTACTTTGAAACAACTTTCCCCCCCAAATATACAGATTTTATACTATGATGAACTGACGTAATACTTTTGTGGTCTATCTGATATACAGATGCTGGTACAATGTAAGCAAAAAACTGCATTAAAGATCAGTTATCAGTGAAGAAAGCTTATTCCCCAAACTAGTTACATTGAACACTTGGGCTAAGACTAGTGTCATCCTTCTGAAATCAGCAAGAGAAAATTTTAATACCCTAGTGTCATGGTCTAGATCTAGGAGAGAATTTTGGAATATCAAGAAAAATTCTCAAAGGGAACCAAATGTGCAAAAGACCAACTTTGTATTCCTGACAAACAGCTAAAAATTATGTTGTATTTCTGTCCCCACCATCACCATGTGGCTCAACTTTATCTCACCAACACATCCTGTGATTCAGAGATCAGGATTGCAGAGGCTGTCCAAGAAAACCACAAGGTACACAATAATAGCAGGTATTGCTTCAGTGATGGTTAGGCCTTCACTGACCAGAGCTGTACATGGCTCTTCTGCCCCATTATTTTCTGATTGGTTATCAGTGACACAGAGCATATCCCCTGCAGTCAGAATGTGTGCCTCTGGTACTTTTTAGACATGCTGTTCCTGTGGCTGAGCTTAGTAACAACATGAGGCTGGTCACATCTACTAGCATCTCCAAATTCACAGCCTTCTCAAACAGTGCATTTCCAGGTGGTGGTGCCATCTACTCTCCCACTTTAATTCTTATAAGTACTAGTGCCAGAATAAGATCCTCCTTTTCCTCCATGATATTACCCAATGTTGGCCTGATCTGACAAAAAGGCGGTTGGAAGGAACAAGATGATATTCTTGGATACCAGCTCAATGAACCTTAGTGGGCAGCATCATAACTTCAGAAATCTTGGTTGCATTCTTTTTTTTTTCTATAGGGCATAAAATTCTAAATACAGTGGATTGCACCCGGCCTAATGGTGGAAGGCTTCCTGAAAAAGTTGACCTTATGATGAGTGACTTTGCAGGAGGAGCTTCAGGATTCCCTATGACATTCAGTGGAGGGAAATTCACAGGTAACAAAATAACAACACAGTTAAAATAAAGGCATTCATAATTATGGTGAAATAATTGGCCAAAAGGTCTATTCCAAGCCAACCTTCTCATTTAAAGTTAATGCACTCTTTTTAAAGTTAATGCAATGAATGGTTGTTGTGGGTTTTTCGGGCTCTTTGGCAGTGTTCTGAAGGTTGTTCTTCCTAACGTTTCGCTCCTCTGAAGGTGCCGGCCACAGAGACTGGTGAAACATTAGGAAGAACAACCTTCAGAACACCACCAAAGAGCCTGAAAAACCCACAACAATCATTAGATCCTGGCCGTGAAAGCCTTCGCGAATACATTAATGCAATGAAGTTAATGCACTCCTGCATGCTCATTGCTCAATGACTGATTTCTTGAGAAGCGTTCGTACATTTCATATGTTGTAAACACAGTGACCATGTATTCCACAACATGTTTTGCTGGCATGTGAGAGGGTTGTAGATGTGTACTGAGGTAAAAACACTGAGCACCTCAGCAGGAGGGAGCATCGTGACTAGGCTAGGGATCTGGCCTTGTGTGAAAAACTACTCTATATATTTCCTTAATGTGTGCAGAAAGTCCCTTCACACACCAGCCAAACACATGAGGCACTATTTTTGGCCATTCCACACATCGGTGGTAGAGGAGAAAATTAGCCCCTCAGGCTGTTTCAACTGCTTCACCTGTTCTTTCAGTCCATGGGACAGTCACCTCTACCACTACAATCCCTCAACTAGCAGCTGAATGTACGGCTGTCTTTCACTTAAAAATGTGAAGGCAACTTGAAATGAAGAGAAAGGTCTTTTTGTACTGGTGGAAATGCAAATGTCACTACTGCTAACTTTACTGGCCCAACTGCTCGAAATAAAGCAATGGATTTAGTTAAGAGGCTGTTGTTTTCCACATAGATCTGTAAGAATCTGCACTGAGATGCATTTCAATCTCACCATTCAAGAAGTGCAACTACCTCATCAATATAAAATGACAAGTCATGTTTCCTCCTTTCTCTACCTCCTGTTTTGTTATGAGGAGTCAATTGACAGGCCAGATCTTTTTTAAAAAAAAATTGTTCCAAACCAATTCTGGAATCAATTTTTCTGACTGAACTTGCTCCACTCTGATCCTTCTTATGTTTTTCTTTCCTTTGCCTATAAATTTGTCTTAAGACAAACAACTTAAGTCCACATATCAGTCTGTATCCAGCTTTGGGTAGGAATATGTACCATCCATGCAGGAATCTTAGCTGTGGAAATTGACTCCAAGCCTCCGTATTCATCTGGCCATTGGTTTTCAGGGATGCATCGAGGAGTACATCTAAAACTGCAGGCCTGAGTGTCTTCTGCCATGGAAGATTTACTGCTTGAGTATATTTTCTAATTTTCCCCTTCTGCTTAAAGATTGAACAGAGCTACAAAAACAATTAATAGCAAACATTAACATTCTTGTAACTTTAAGATGTTTTCGTGGTAGCACCATCAAGATTTGGTAAATGCGTTGGTTTTTCAGAGGCATGGAAAGCCCAGTTTATTAAAACTGAAAGGAAGAAATTACTGAATTACAAGGCCCAGCTGGTTAGCGAACTGAAGCCAAAAGTCTTTTGCCCTTTTGCAGGATATTTTGTTGAAGCTCATCCTTCTGACAGGTACAGTTTTCTGATTTACTTATGGCACACTAAATTTATGATAAGTGTTTGTACAAATACTAGAAGGCCAAATAACTGTTTCAATATGATGGCCATCCCTATTGCCAACAAAGCATGATTGAGGATTGCTTCCAGTTTTGAGGCTTTTTATTACATAGTAAGTAAGCAACACGTGCTTCACCCTGGAGAGGGTGACATTACTTTTTTTAAAAGCATTTTAAAATCAAGTTTAGTGTGCTCTAAATCAGTGTAAAAAGTGTAAATATACAACACACGTGGAAGCACGGATGAATTTTACAAGGAATCGTGATTTTCTGAGCAGCAGCAAATCTTTTTACTCTTCAACCAGAAAGCCATTTATTTTAACCCAGTTGTGGAATCAGTTCATTTAAATCAATTCCTCATATGTGAATGCCTCTGTTGGCATTAATTTTTAAGGAGTCCTACTGCTGGCTAACTCTCACAGTCTTTTCCCCCCTGGCTGGTAAGCCAATTGGGATAAGCAAGTGCCAGCATATGTAAATGCCTCCATCAGTGTAAATAAAGATTGTCACCACCACCTCCCACACCAGCACTTTCCTTTCCCAACCTTTGCTGAAGTCTCTCTGGGTTTTTTAAGTTTCTTGCATCTGGTATAGTGAAATAACAGAATGCCACACAGAAGAAAAAAAATTAAAATAGACATTTCCATGCAGCACTAATGGAGAGTGAAAAAGCAGCCCTGACTTCCCCTCCTCCTCCTGTCTCTAGTTTCAAAGGAGGGGAGGGACATCTAAAAACAAAATTCTCCAGCCTAGATTATGGGGGATGCTAAAACTGACAAAGCTTGTGATGGGGAAACACACACACACACAGAGAGAGAAAGAGAGAGAGAGAGAGAGAGAGAGAGAGTAGAAAAGGAGCTGCTGGAGGAGAGAAGAAAAGAGAGATATCTGTCTCCCATGAGTGTATCAGGCCACAAGGGAGGGACATCTAAAAACAAAATTCTCCAGCCTAGATTATGGGGGATGCTAAAACTGACAAAGCTTGTGATGGGGAAACACACACACACACAGAGAGAGAAAGAGAGAGAGAGAGAGAGAGAGAGAGAGTAGAAAAGGAGCTGCTGGAGGAGAGAAGAAAAGAGAGATATCTGTCTCCCATGAGTGTATCAGGCCACAAGGAAAACTATTTATTTATTTATTTATTTATTTATTTATCCGCCCCTCTAGACCATGTCTACTAAAGGGAAGCCACAGGAGCCTCTGAATCTTTGGAGGGAGGGTTGGATATCTATCTATCTATCTATCTATCTATCTATCTATCTATCTATCTATCTATCTATCTATCTATCTATCTATCTATCTATCTATCTATCTATCTATCTATCTATCTATCTATCTATGTGACATTCTGTTCTTTCACTATACCAGATGCAAGGAATTAAAACAATAATCAGAGAGGCAAGGGGTTGCACACACCAACCCAAAAACTATATAACCTTTACACCAAATTTGACAACCATATGACTTTACACCAAATTCAAAAGCTCAAATCCAGGATACAAATTATTTATTTAATTAATTAATTTAACCCTGCTCATTATGTGGATAAAAGATACTGCAAGCAAACAGAAGAGGTATGAGGAGTGACTATTTGGATAAAGCCCTTGTAAAAAAAGGAATGATGAGAATCTGGTTTTAGGATATTCTCTCCCATGAACTCAACTTGATGGCTCTCCATCCCCTATGGCATTGTTAGAATTCATGCACATGGAAATCACAACAATAACATTAACAATAATAGTAATATTCATAAAAATGTACAAAGACAAATAGGCCACAGATCGCGCAATCTCTGGTGTCTATATACAAAAGCCAGGAATATGGGAAACAAACAAGAAGAACTGGAAATATTAGTTCAGGAGGACAAATATGACTTGATAGAAATAACTGAAACTTGATGGGATGTCTCCCACAACTGGAATACAGCAATTGAAGGATATAAATTATTCAAAAAGAACAGAAAGAATAGAAAGGGAAGTGGGGTTGCAGTATATGTAAAAAAAATGTGCATTCCTGTACAAAAATACTGTACAGGAGGATGAGACTGGATGTTCAACTGAGAACATCTGTATCAATCTAGCTGGGGCAAAAAACAAAAGGAACATGGGAGCTAGAGTCTACTACTAGCCGCCCAATCAAGGAGAGGAGGCCCATGAAACTTTTCTTGTTAGAGCAGTGCAATAGTGGAACCAATTTCCTCAAGAGATGGTGAGTGCTTGAACACTGGAGGCATTCAAGAGAAACTTAGACAACCACCTGGCAGATATCCTTTGATCTGTATTCTGCAGCAAGCAGGGGGTTGGACTTAATGGCCTTATGGGCCCCTTCCAACTTCAGTATTCTATGAAGAAGCTTTCTACTTGTGCCATTTTTCCAATCGTACAAAAAAAAGTTGATTGTGTTTCTTTCTTTACCTAGCTATATCAAAGAAACTAACCTTAAAAATGATCCAGATGAGTTGAACAGGCTAATTGAAAAAAAATGTGGTGATGTTTTAACATGGACACCAAAGCCTGGAGCTACCTTGGATTTAGCAAAGGTTCTAAGAGATTCAACTGACAGGTAACCCTAACCTTTTAAAACATGTTTATTGGTCTTACACAATGATTTTTCAAACCTCTGCATGCACATCAGTGCTTTAATTCTGTTGATCTTGTGGGTGGTGGTAGTGGATAAGTTGAATCCCAGTTGTCCCTTCAAACAGAAGGACTCCTTTCATCCATGGAAAGGATTGAAATGGAGAGGAAGTTCCTGCTGGAGTGAGCTAGAAGGATAACGATTGGTGATTCTTTATTCCTCTTAGCACAGATCTAGTAGAATGGATGGCATTCCCAGCTGATAGATTCTCTTTTTGCAAGGGTGCTCACCAAGACAACTGCTGATAAATTGCTCTTAATCAGGATGAACATTTACAAATGCTTTAATCCGAGCCCTGTTGCCAAAAACTGTCTCTTCAGCTCCATGAAAAAGTAAGAAGGTGCTTTAGATTTTATTGGTCAAACCCAGAAAACACTTCTGGATTTAGTCAATACAGCAGGTGGTTCTGTTAGTAGGAAACTAATAGGTGAAGGAAGGGGGGGGGGCTCAGCTAACATAGGTGTTGTCACTTGCTTCTACTGATTGCATAGATTAGAATTTTAAGTGCTGTTACTAATTGCACACTAATGGGCAGAGTGCAGGGAGAGTTTACAATGTTGTACAAAGGATTAACATGCCAGTATAGGTAATATCTCTTTCTATAGTAATAACAGCCAAATTTTACTAGTAATCAGATAGCATAAGGCTCAATTCCTTTAGGTAGGATGCTATTTGATCCTTCTTGCAGATTCTGTTTTTTTCTCTTTTAGTATAGGAATTATGAATCCTCCAGCAGGGACAAAAGTTTTCAAAGACTCATGGGACTTCCAGCCATACATAGATATTCTCAGTGCTGCAGTTGATGATGAGATATTTCGCTATCCCTCCTGGGTGAAAGAGTACTATACTTGGGCTGGATTTAGAGGCTACAACCTTGTGATAAGGGTAAGTTGATTGATACAAGTATTTCACAAAAGCAGGGTAATGTTTATTCCTTCAGGGACAGGAATTCCACAAGAATTTCTATTTTTGTGTGCTTGCAGCAAAAACAGCAGACTAATAAATGTACAGTACTGAATATGAGGAGGCAAGTAGACACTGCCCCACATGTCATCAAATGCCCGATTGCTTGGTCTCTGGTAATGTTGAGCATAATTAAATGTATGAATATCTGAAATGTGGTAATCTTGATGCTAGGAATTACAGATTAATTTGGGGTTGTTCAAAAACAGCAATATATTTCCCTACTTTTTAGAGACTCATTAAAAAAAATGCCAGTAAAATGTAAATACCTGTTAAGCTATTTTGGCCATTATTTGCATTTGACCTTTGGACATTGTAGCAAGGAGAGCAGGTTCACCACCTGACCCAGCCATCATCTCACCATGAGGCTTTACTGGGCTCAAGTGCAGGAAATAAAAGAGTGAATGTAGTTAAGAAGTTGCACATAGATCTGTTAGGATGTGCACCAAGAGTTGTGGAACAAAAAGAACTCTTACTTCCAAACAGTCCACATATGATTTGTATGCTTGGAGAGAGAACATCTTACTTTTTCCAGGGCAAAAAGTGAAAAGATAAAGAGAAAAAAAATGAGCTGGGAGGAAGGGAAACAAGAAATGACACAATTCAAGCAGAGAGGTCAGTTTACTTAATCTCTGGCACTTAACTCTTTCCTCCCATGCTGGTTACCACACAGAACATCCAGTGTTGATGCAAACAAGGTTATGCCTAACTCTGCTACTGCCATCACCACCAAGAGTGGCCTGAAAGCTTTCTCTACTGGCACACTTAGCCATCACCTGGCCAGCCCAGATGAGGCATGCCAGGCTGTTGCTCTCAGAAAGAGCATTAATACAACGGGTTGACATGCCTCCCCATCACCCAGCTACTAGGCAGCATCAGAAGCCAGGAGTGTGCATTATGTAAGCAGCTTTGGGCAATTTAAGAAAAGCAGGGCAGAGGGGAATGGGATGATGCCAAGAGGGAATGTTGGAGGAGGAAGGAACAGCTGCATGCAGGTGCTGTGAAGGCAGGGGCTCATTCTCCTGGATCACCAAAAATGGGCAGCCAGCAGGAGAAATGGGCACAGCCATACATCCTCTTATCAGCTGCTAGAGCACTTAGTCCTCACCCTTAGACAAACACATTGGCTTTGCCACTTAGGGGGTTCCAGCCCATTGAGGCAAACCCAACTGGACTCCAAACTTCAGCTTGGCTCCTGCTCCCAGCCCTGGATCATCCTGAATTGAGGGTGCTCTGGCTGTGGGTTGTGTGGATGGAGAAGCACAACATGAAACACGAGAAAAGGCCTATTGGTTTTTGAATTGGTGGCAGGGCATGGGTGCCACTCCATATTAAGAATTCCAGATCCCTTTCCTGGGCCTTTTGAGACATACAACAGGGGTCAACAATCCAAGCTGAGTAAAACCAAGGCAAAGGACCCGAGAACCTCTGGGCTGGGGACGGAGTAGGGGGCACTAAGGAAATGGAGACTTACCTATATGGTAAGTCTCCATTTGCTTACCATTTGTTCCATTTCCCCTCCAGTGAAACTTACTAGGTTTTGCTCAAGTTCTGTTTGAGTACATCTGCGTTTCCAGTGTCATGAATTTGGGATAGTCAGAGGCATGATTCCTTTAACAGGCATTCCAAAAGTTTGTTTGGCATTGTCAGCATTTAAAGAAAAAGTAAAGTAAAGCACAGTGTGCTGTTTATATATTGCCCCATAGTGCTTAAAGCACTCTCTGAGTGATTTACAATTCATTTATACAGGCTACACATTACCCCAGCAAGTTGAGTACTTCCTTTAGATAGGAAGGCTGATAAGTTTTTGCAAAATGTTTGACACTTGGCTCCATCCGAAAAGCAACTGTACAGTTTTTAGGACTTCACACCGATGTGTGTACACAGAGACAGTCTGTATCTTCACACTTTCCAGTGGCATCTGATTTTTTTTCTCCTTTTAGATACAGAGTTTTAGATCAGACAGGCGATGCATTTTTTTTTTCAAATCACCACAACAAATTTTGGAAACCACTTTCCCAGGAAGGGCCCGCAAAACAACATAAAAATGTTGGAGGACTTGAGGGCTGCAGGCAGCTTGTATGCCACACCATGACACATATACATCTATCCTCATTTTCATGCTTTCTTAGCACAGCTGGAGACAGAATGCTAGATCAGCAATTTCTATGTTTTTATTTTTTAAATGAAAACCAGGGAGCCTTCACTTCAAAGATGGATGACCTCTTGCCTCAAATGTTTGGTTTCAAAAAGTGAAAACACTGATTAAAAGCATAATAAAAATATATGTCAACAATTCCAGTACAGGATGTTTTTTAAAACTGGAAATAAACAGAGAGGATATGCAGAAGCTGAATAATCCAGCTGCTGGAGAGTCCTTGGACCTCGAACAGCGATGCTGGCCTTGCCTTCCACCCGGGATATCGCGAGACAGAGTAGTCTCACGTGATCCCTAGGTGGAGGGGAAAGCCAGGGTGTTTAAAGGGCTTTCCCCCTCTGGAACGCCCTCTTCTTTTCGGGCACCCGCCCGCCCGCCCTATTTCTAGTGTGAGGTATTCTGGTTGCCATTACGGGGCCGGATAGGAATTTTGGCCTTCATCCTGATTGGCCTGTGGATGGGGGAATTTTTGCCTATCCCACAGTAGAAGAGGGTTGTGGCAAGTCGGTGGAATTAGCTTCGGTCACACTGGCAGGTAGTGTGGAAAAAACAGGCATTTACGGTGGGTCCCGCTGTAATTTCAAGTAAGCCAACAGCACATCCTACCGCCTGGCACTGCGGATCGTGTGATTACAGTGCCTGTGGCGGGAAGATGCACTGGGCCACTTCCAGACTAACAACCCTCAAATAAAGGGGGATCAAGGTCTGGGGGTGTTTCTTAGTGGCCAGCCAGGTTCCTGTGATCCTTAAGGTCGCTGGAGCCTGGGGCCGGGGACTCGCCTTTTCATTGATCTAGGAGTATTTAGATACTCACGTCATTTAACTGTTTCCGCACTACGGCAGGCCCCTCCTTCTGAATAAAAATCTGGAATATGAATGTATATTAATAAAGTATGGCCCGTATTTTAACCCATATCAGTGTCTCGCATTTTATTCCGGGGTTGGGAAGGCAATAGGTTCAGTGACAGCATAAGGAATCTTCACTTTGTTCATTATGGGGGAGGGTACAGAAGGCTATTTGAATATTTCTTTACCTCTTCTTCTTGGTATTCCATGCTAGGTGATAGAAACGGATGACGACTTCAACCCTTTTCCTGGAGGCTACAACTATTTGGTGGACTTCTTAGACCTATCATTTCCAAAAGAGAGACCAAACCGTGACTGTCCATATGAAGAGGTAACATTACTTGTGTGTAATGTTAGTGTATGAGAACCAGTGTAGTACATTTAATAAAGCATTGGACAAGACTCAGGAGAGCTGTGTTCATACCACCACTTGAGTGTGGGAATTCATTTATGGAGGGGTCACAATGGTAAAACTGCTCCTTGAATATCTCATATGTGGAAAGCAACTTGAGAGCAAACAATAGCAGCAGCAGCTACAACATATTACTGTATACATTTACATGCTCTCCAAAATATTAATTGCTTGCTAGCTGTCTTGAAGTAGCAGAGAAAGAGAAAGCTTAAGGGCTGTATCCTCACTTAGGTCTATTGGGAAGGGAAACACTTTTGCACATTTGTGTGAAGATCAAAAACACACAGCAGGAAAGGAGAAGAAAAAATGATATGGAATAAATTTTTAAACATGTGTACTTCAAATAGAATAGTCTGTTTCTATGTAAAATCTGTGTAGTATGTTAGAAAAGGTAGTTCTGTACATTCCATAGGACTGAAAGCCGAATAAATGGGCATTCATAGGGCTGAATTTTGTGAAATATTTTGTTTGTTATATAGGGACTTCAGGACTTAACAGTCATTCCTCTCTGCTTATGAAGCTCATGCAAAGAGGACAGTGTTCTGCCCCATCCCTGGCTTTCATCACCCAGATTCTATACATGGAAGTCAAAATGTCAGAAGCAGAGATCTTCTGCTGTCTGTGGAAACTTTGCACATGAGTCCAGACCTTGATTTTCTGTATGAGCCCCTACAGACAGTGGAGCTCTCTCTTCAGACCTGCAACCCCTGTGCATGCTAGGAGGGTAAGAGAAGTGAGAAAGAAGGGGAGCAGGGCTTAAACATACCCTCCTTCAAATGAGATAAGAATGACTGAAAAAAGACTTGGGTAGTTACATTGTCTTTACTCACCAACAGAGAACCTAGCTAGAGGCTTCTGGAGAGATAACAATAGAAAAACAGCAAGCTTCCAAGCCAGAAATCCAGCTCCCAAGCTTAGAATCTCTGTTCCGTGGAGATCCAGGGCCAACATCAGCCACTGCATTCAACATGGAACATAGACGCTCTAGGATATTGGTTAAGGTTCAGTATTCACAAATCCTGGGTCATCTCATTGTTAGGTTTGCTTCTGGCTTCTAAATTTGAACAGTTCTTTGGGAATATTATAAGAATGCATAAGAATTGGCACTTGATTTTGCTGGACTGTATACAGAGTTGTTGTTTGGGTTTTTTTACTATAGATCAAAGCCCGAGTTAATGTTGTGAGATATACAGTGAAGCATGGGCTGCTCTGGGATGATCTTTATATAGGATTCCAAACACGGCTACAACGTGACCCTGACATATACCATCATCAGTAAGCTCATTATTTCTGTTGTTGCTATGTTAATTACAAGTTATAGCACTTAATTGATGGTCCACTCTCTTCTTATTTCCTTCTAAATGGTTTAACTGGAAGTTATGATTATGTCTGTTGTACCTTTTGAAGATAGATAGATAGATAGATAGATAGATAGATAGATAGATAGATAGATAGATAGATAGATAGATAGATAGATAGATAGATAGATAGATAGATAGATAGTAATTTGATCAGTATCACTGGATGGATGGATGGATGGATGGATGGATGGATGGATGGATGGATGGATAGTAATTTGATCAGTATCACGTTTTTAACACAGAAATATATCCTTTGTTTTAAATAGTGTTCTCTGTCAACTGACATGTTGACAGTTATAATATGAAATATGCAAATTTCCATTACAGATCTCCCTGAAGTGTGTAAGGTAGCATATTATCCTGCCTTTTATTGTTTCAGAACCACATAAGAACATATAAACAGTAAATGTAGTCATATAAATCCAGGCTAGATCTAGCAGTGTTTTCTTCCTGTCAGTGACTATTTTGTTTCATTTCATTTTTTTTAAGGTTTTGGAATCATTTTCAAATAAAACTTCCTCTAACGCCACCTGACTGGACATTTTTCTTGGCACAACACGACAAAATCTGAAGGAAAGATAAAACAGCATTCACTATTGCTGCCAAGAAAGAAAGTTGTAATTAATGTCCTTTTCCATCCTCAGAGAGAGCATAATCAATACATAGTCTGATACAGTAACTGAATAATTGTTATTTCCTTTAAAATAATGATTTAGAATCCACACACAGAGAGAACATGAAACTATGAGCTTTCTACTAGTATAATGTGAAGGTATGTGTTAAACTTTTTAAACTTTTCCAATGAAATACATTCCAACTTGATTTTATGTCTGTTGCTTTGTGTCTCCTATTCTTTGTAAGATGGAAACAAACACTTAAAAAAACAGATTTCATAAAGTTTGTCTGTTTCCATAATCTGTTTTCATGAGGTGGCTGTAGACATAGTGGCTAGAAAGAGTATATTAATTGGCTATTTTCATGCTATTGAAGGGTGATCAGTTTGGAGGCCATCTTGATTTATGCTTTCAGTACATTCTAAATGCTTAGATTTTACAGTATTATATTCAAAGGAACCATTGGAGTTTTATTTTCAACCTTGCATGCTGCTGTAGTTTGTTTGACTGGGAGAGATATTTCTGGGCTGGGATGATCCAGCACTAACAAATCATTCCTTCTAGCCTTTGATTTCAAAAGACAGCACTGCCTCTCTGCTGGGTGCATTTTCCCTCTCTTTAGTCTGTTGATCATTCATCACTGCTAAAATGCTAGCACAAATGAAGAAGGGAGTGGCGTGATTCATAGAGCAGACACCTCTTGCAGTCTGTGAAAATACGTGAGTCATTATGTATTGTTGTACATAACATGGCAATGATCCAAATGTTATCTGGGCACTTAGTCATTTTCTAACCCCCTGAGATGCTTCATTTAATTTGTTTTATCTGTTGTTAAAACCCCGCAGATCTCAATCGAAAATATTCAGCCATTGGTTTTTTTTTGTCTGCTTCATAGAACCGACTCCCATGGAAATATTTATCACTGGCACCTGGATGCAGGGGTGGCTCTAAGAGACTGTAAAGGAGTGGGTTCAGATGTGGAGATGAATTCAGCATAGCTCTTTGTTTGCATGAGACAGTACGAACACTCACAGCAAGATGCCATATATATACTCAAACCTTCCCCCAAACACCCCCCCAGCACTCAATCCCTCAATAAACACACAACAGTTAAAAACTCCCTTGGCCCATTGCTAGTCTGTAGTACTGTAGTAACTGGCTCAGCAAGCTCAGCAAGCAGTCTATCCAACAAAGGATCTTTGCCTGAAGCTCCCAATACATTACAGAGACTATATCTGGAAACCATCTGTTTTTCTGCAAACCATCTCTGTCGCAATGTAACAATAATGCATTTCTAATATATATTCATTTGTTTGTTCATTTGTTCATACCTTGTCTTTCTCCTTAAAATTGACCCAAGGCAGCTTACATCATTACAAGACAATATTTGAAGCTGAAACCGTATGTATGCAAATACTTAAAAGGATCAAACAAATACCACTTTACAAAATGCTAAGCAAAAGCAATACCAAAAACGCATTCAGAACAGTGAGGCACAACAATCCACTTAAAAACCCCACTCAGGCAGGCAGTCATGCAGGGAATTTAAAAATTAATTTCCAAAAAATCTAAATTATTATGTTTAAATATCCCTATTAGAGAACAAAATGAAATTAGAAAAGCATCTCATTTAGAGTTATGTTATTCAAGTTTTAAATACTTAGGAATATGGGTAACAAAAAAAAAATCTTTGCTGAAAGGACAGCAAAGATGGCACCAGCCTGGCCTCCTGTGGGAGGGAGTTCCAAAGTCTAGGAGCAGCAACAGAGGAAATTCTGTTGGGGAGCAGCAACAGAAAAGTTGTGGGACTGAGAGAAAGGCCTCTCCTGATGATCTTAACGACTGAACAGGCTCATAATGGGAGACGGTCTTTGAGGTATCTTGAGCCCAAGCCATTTAAGGCTTTATAGGTTAGAACCAGTACTTTGAATTGTGCCCGGAAATGGATCAACAGCCAGCTGAGTTGCTATAATGGGTGGGTTATGTGACCCTTGTGACCAGCCCCAGTCATTCATCTGGCCAGTGCCTTTAGGACCCTGAGTTGCTATAATGGGTGGGTTATGTGACTCTTGTGACCAGCCCCTGTCATTCATCTGGCCAGTGCCTTTAGGGCTGAACTTTCTAGACACTATCCAGAGGCAGACTTATGTAGAGAGTGTTACAGTAATCCAGCTGGAATGTAACTAAGGCATGTGTTACTGGGGCCAGATCAGACCTTGTCAGGAATGAGTGCACCTGATACACTAGATTTGATTGTGCATTTGCACTCCTGGCTATTGCCAAAACATGGCTATCCAGGCTCAGAGATGAAACCAGGTGCACCTCCCAAGCTGCACATCTGTGTTTTCAGAGTGAATGTAATCCCACCCAGCACAAGCTACATCCCTATTACTTGATCTGCCTTTCAACTGACCAGGAACACCTCTGCCTTGTCTGGATTAAGTTTCTGTTTATTTTTCACTCATCCAGTCAATTACTGTCACTGATCTAGAACTGAGACAGCTTCCTTGGATGTAGATGGCAAGGAGATACACAGTTGGGTGTCATCTGCATACTGGTGACACTGAACCCCAAAAGTCTAGATGGCCTCCCCCAGCAGTTTCATGTAAATGTTAAGTAACACAGGAGACAAAACAGATCCCTGAGGGGCCCTGCAGGCCAGTGGCCAGGGTGTTGAAAAGGAATCTCCCAGCACCATGTTCTGAGTTTTCTCCTCAAGGAAAGAATGGAGCCACTGTTAAACATGCCCCCAAGTCCCGTCCCAGAGAGCCAGGCCAGAAAGATGCCATGCTTGATGGTACCAAAAGCCACTGAGACACCCAGCAGAACCAACAGGAACATACTTCCCTCTATCCAGTAGGTCATACAGCAAGGCGACCAAAGTAGTCTCCATCCCATAACCGAAGCCAGATTGAAATAGAGATGATCCATCTCATCCAGGAACCCCTACTTCATGACCTACTTCAGCATCTTGCCTAAGAATGGAATGTTAGCAACTGGTTCCTAATGACTCAGTATTGTGGGATCCAAGGAGGGCTTTTTCAACCATGATCTTACTATTGTCTCCTTTAGGCATATTGAGATCCTACCTTGTTGCAAAGAGCCATTCAACACTCCTCCTGCCCACTCAACCAGCCCCTTTCTGACAGCTTTTATATACCAGGAAAGGCAGCAGACATGTGGTAGCCTTCACCTCTCCCAGAGTTCTGTCCATATCATCAGGCTGCAGAAAACTGAAACTCATCCATTAAAACAGGGCAAGTGAGATAAAATTATTAATACATGTCATACAGGATCAAAGTAAACAGATCTGCATGATTGGGTATCATGGATTTTTAGCAATAACATGTTTAATTCCCACAACATCATGCACAAATAATCCAGAATACAGGGCCCAAGACAGATTGCCAATTGCAGGTTTAAAGTATGAGTTACCTATTTTCTAGACTCCCATACATTTCAGGTGTTCAGAACGAAGACTGAGCATTGTTTTCTCAGCCTGTTGTACACCTGGTGCTATTGATACTCTCAGAAGACCAATCACCTCCTTGCAACTAGTTACCCCCTTCTGCAACTTCAGCTGCCACCTCTATTACAGGACCCCAATGGTTGCTAAAAGAAAATGCTTTTTTCATCTACCTCAAAGTAAAGACTCATTTTCATTGGTCTTTATAACTGGCACAGTAAAGAGAATTAAGGCTTCTTTGTAGAGTAGCCTTTGATATTCTTCTCCATAGCCTCTCCCACCTTCTTTTTTGGAAGATCTACCGTAGTACTCCTTGGACTTAAAATTACCTCCCCACTAGTTGTTTTCTCCACTGAATGCTTCCTCATCCAACTCCCAGAAGGAGCAAAGCTCAAAGGAGGGGGCATTACAGGGTACATGATAGGGGACCTTCTATGTCTTGAATATGAGCTGTTTCTTCTTTCCTCCTCCACCTGTGCTGTAGGGTATGTACATTTGGCAAATTATGAATTGTCTGGCTTGATTAGACTACAGTGGGGTCTCTACTTAAGAACGTCTCTACTTAAGAACAATCCAACTTAAGAACAGCTCCATTTGCTAAATTTTGCTTCTACTTGAGAACAGAAATCCAAGATAAGAACAGGAAAAAAAACCTTTCCTGCTCTTTTTTTAACCCTAGGTCCTCTTAGGTTAAAAAAAATTCTCCCCCTCGTGGGAGAGTACGTATTAACCAGCTTTGCATTAGTTCCTATGGGAACTAATGCTTCAGTGTACGAACACACCTCTACATAACAAAAAAAACAGCCAGAACGGATTGATTGGTTTTTAGTCCACTCCTATGGGAAATTTTGCTTCAACTTAAGAACGTTTCAACTTAAGAACACCATTCCAAAAAGGATTAAGTTCTTAAGTAGAGGTTCTACTGTAGTTTCTATGGACGGAAAAGAGCAGATACAGATTAAATGGTTTTCAATGCATTCCTATGGGAAATGCAGATTCAACATAAGAACATTTCAACTTGAGAACCACCTTCCAATACGGATTAAGTTCTTAAGTAGAGACCCCATTGTATTCCAAAACAGCCCACACCCGCTTACTCCCTGTCACTAGTGTAGCCACACCCTAAGTCTCCTCTTGCTGAGCTGTATCTCTTCCCTGACTTGATTTGAAGGGGTTTTATTGCCAATTTTCTGGACTATGGAAAACACCCACTTTTGTCTTTCCATGTGCAACTCAGTTTAATGCATTTTAAAAAGTTTTGGATTTATTTCCATATTAAACTTATGTTGACAACACTCAACTGGAAGTCTTTCTTGGTGCAACACTAAAGAATCTGAAGTTAACAATGGAAAGGATTTCTATGTGTAACCAATAAACAGGACTGTTGATAAAACTGATCTGCCATAGTTATTTAATTATTGTTTTCTTTATATGCTATTTTGATCTTCCTCTAAAATGATGTACAGTCTGCTTCACACAGACACACACTTCTATCATTACTATCTCTCTGTACTCCTGTTCCCTCTAAGTACCTATAAGTAAGCGTGTATGAAATAATACAGGTTAAATATCAATTGCTGCCTCTGGTAAACAGGTGTTGATCTGCATTGCCTTGCTTGCAGCTTTGTTGCAGTAACA